TCAACATAAAGAGTAACTAAGGTTAAAACCTCTATGTGTTGTTGGCCAAACCTCTTTGGCTTAATAATAACAATAATAATAAAAATAAAGAAAAAAACGGACTCCTCTCCTCTTCTTGGGATACCAACAAAGCCTAACATGATTTCTTGCAAATTTTCCAAAAGTAAAATTAAAAAAGAAACTGGATTTTTTTTTTATTTTTTGTGTTATCATCAAAAGCGGGTGTGTTTTACGTTGCGTTGTGCTTTGCAACTTGTTTTGGTTTTAATTCATAAAAGGAGAGGATAACTCTGACAATGTTGTGCCCCCCACCACCATACAAAGATTGTGTGTTTGTTTGTATGTGGATCAGTAAAATATGGTTAACTTCTTTTTTTCTTGTGGTTGGAGTCACTAGTCTGCTTCTACGCTGCGAGCCGCCAGCCTATATGTGTGTGCGCTTAAATCAAGGGGGAAATCATGCTGCTGCTGCTGCAACAACATTTAAATTTTGTTTTATTACAAATTTCCGGTCGTTTGTCTTATAAGCTGTTATTTCGTTTCGTTTGGCTTTTTTTCTTTCATTTCTTATTTTCTGACTTGAACTTCTTTCTGCTGATGTTGCTATTATTTTTATGTCTGTACGACGAGTATGGATGTATGCATGCATGTGTGTTATTTCTGTGGGTTGAGATTTCGAAAAATTTGTCAAAAAAGTGGGAATGTCTGCAAAAATTTCTTTTCGCAAGAGGAGAGGTGGAGTTTGGCGGGGTTCATTTCTCATAACTCATTCTCCCCCTCGAATGTTATAGCCAGAGCTCGCTCGATACCGGGCCACTTGGTAACTAGTTTCGTTTCACACGGTTATATAAGCAGTTGTTGTTATTGTTTTTGTTTGTTGTTTTTTAGTTTAGTCACTGCAAGAAAAAAAAATAATTAATTATTTTGTTTGTTTCTTTTAGATTTTTACGGATTTTTTGGTTTTTGTGTGAATTGTAAAACAGAAAATTGTAAAAAATGAGGAGAAGGATATCAAAGAGATCCATTCATATATCTACCAATAAATTGAAGATTGAAATTCTATTATATCTACTAAGAATTAATACACGTTTTTATTTCTATAGAAGACTGAATTAGAGTAATCTAGCATCTACAAAGGTGCAGACAGGCCCACAGGTTGATAAAAAAAGTATACCCCCTTTGCTTCCAAATAATCATTTGGCAAATACTTCTTTCGAGCATCCTTTTAAAATCTTAAAAGAAAAAAATAGTCTTTTGGACCAAATTTGAACGGCTCAAGAAACGAGAGATAATTCGGAGCGAATTTTTTATAAAGAAGCCGAGATCGCACACTGCCGACTAAAATCTTAAAGAGAAAATAGTCTTTTGGACCAAATTTGGACAGCTCTAGAAACGAAAGATAATTTTGAGCGTATTTTTTTAATATAAAGAAACCGAGATCGCACACTACCGACTAATGATACCCAATCGGAAAAATATAGGGTGTGGCATCTCATTTACATAAAATCGGATCATTTACAGTCCAAATTTTTTTTAATCGTACAAATATTGGCCGTTGATGAGAAATCGAACAGCCAAATATATGGAAGCTAAACTTGAACCAATTCTGACGAATTTTACTTGGTGCAAAGAAAATTGGTCACAAATTTTATTAACACCTGAGGTAGTCCCCTTTATTTTTGCATTTTTGTGGTCTCATTGAAATTCCTAAAGAAAATTGGTCGCAAAATTTCTATAAAAACCTGAGGTGCCTCCCTCTTACCTTTTTTTGGTCTCAATGGAATTTTTCTCCACAACAATTCTATTGTCTGTGACATACTTATTTCGATGGTATTTTTGATTGTTATCTCATTCCCCCTTCAATTCCGCTCTGATGTAAACTTCCGCTTTTGGTAAGGCCTTGTCGTCGTTGTTACATAACCTACAAAACAAAAAACATTTATGTTTTTATACACAACAAACAGAAGAAGACATGCATACAATAAGTGTTTTTGTTGTCGTTTTATTTAATTTTTTTCTTCGTCATAAATAGGTAATGAATTTTAAAAATTTTATTTCAGCTTTGCCGCGAGAAAACGTGACAAAATTTTGAAAATTCAATACATATTGTCGCCATTGTGTCATATTTAATATTAAAAAATTAAAAAAAAAACACCATAAACCAAAACGCAACAACAACCCACAAAAAAAAAATTAAATACCATTGACAAAAACGGAAGCTGTTATTGGAAATGTTTTTTTAGCTATTTTAATGGGCCGGGAAATGGGAAATAAACTAATCATATTGGAATGTTGTTGGATTTTCAATGTGGGCGTTACATTTGTAAAGCAATAAGGAAATAGCCATAAAAATTCCATCTCTTTTTTATTTTTAATTTTCATTAAATAAAACCGTTATGTATAATGACCCATTGAGCTTAACAATAAATCAAAAAATCTATCTATATTTCCTATTCCAGTAATCACAACAACAATTTAAATGAAAAAAATTATGTGGGAAGCCCAAGAACAACGTTTATGTATCAGTTTGAAAATATCTTCCCAACATCATTAATAACGTTCGAGTAACATTTCCCCCGCCAGTGCGTGATTACGCCCTGATATACACATAGCACACACATACATACGTATGAATCCCAGAAAAACCCCAAAGATTGAATAAAAAAACATTTTTTAATGCCATAATATTTTTTTTAAGTTTTTCATTTTATCCAAGATTTTATATTCTCCCTAAACAACAAATGCAACAGATGTTCTCTTTTATTGACCAGGAACACTGACCATATATTCTTCTTCTTATCATCTAAAAAAAATTCACACACACCCAAAAAAACCTTTTCAAACAGAGCATCGAAGACATTGTCCATCTGTCTGCATTCTGGATGATATTCCTGCAGATATAAAAGGTGCAGCAGAGTCTGTACAAAGAAAAAAAAAGGCCAATAAAGACCATCAAAACTTTGCTCTTTACCTTAGTAAAAGCCAGACTGGCGTGCAAAAATAACTTTAATTTTTTTGTTGACTTCTTCAGATTGCGTGTTCGTAGTATCTCCATGCAACAAACATCCAACCCAACAATGCCTTTGGTTAGTCGTCTGACAGGAAACGAAGGAGTAGAATATCAAATAACAACAACAACAACAACACCAAGAAAAAGAAACAGTTTAGGCATGCGTTCCTTCACTACACATATATACATGGTCAGCCAGTCCGTAACAATATCAAATAAAATTGTATATATAAACGATGGTCCTCTGTACCATCTTCTTCTTCTTCTCCATGAAAATATTTCAAAAATTCAGATGCGTTTTATTGGCTTTGTAAGAGAAGACCATCAACAACGTACAACAACCCACATCACAACCAAAAATAACATCTTCGGGATTTGCAGTTTATTTTTTTTTTGTTCTTGTTCTTGTCCCATCCTCAGGTTCTGGTGGATCCATGTCCACGAAGGAAGTTGCCAGTGTAGGTTTCATTTAAAAATACCTATACGAGTTATGCAAAGCATTTGTGCTTGAAGCAAAAAGTCGAAGGGATGTTGCTGCTGCATTTTTCCAGCAATGCTTTATTTTGGAATTTTATCAATGAAATTCACGAAAACTGGTTACCAACTTGGACTGTCTTTCTTTGAGTTGTCTCACAGAAATTATTGGCAAGATGGTAAACTTGGAAAGGATGTCCGCCAAACCGAAAAAACACATATACGCACATTTCCTGTTCTATAAAAAAGTGGGAAATTAAAAATATCATGGGTTAAATTAATGATTCTTATATGGGACAATTACCCTAAAAAGTAATCTATTTTAGTTGACCAAAAATAATACCAAAAACTAATTTTTACAATTCGAGACTTTAAATTTCAATAGTACAATAATATATCGGGATAAAGAGGTACAAACTAAAATAATTTTTAATCGCATATTTTATATTTCAAAGAGTCTTAATTAATGTTTTTGTAAATAAATTATAATATACATAATATTGATATTCTAAAACGTTTTTAAAAATATTATTCTTTGAATTTCCTTATGCTTAGGATAATGATTATGTTGTGCTTTTTTGTGGCAATACAAACAATTGTAGCAAAAAACCACTACGAACAAAGATTATACACCACACACACACAACAACAACAACAAACACAATAACATTTTGAACGTAGCATTTTAAGTTCGCGTAATAGTAACAAACAAAACGTAAAGCGTATCACGGTAGCAAAACTAGTTTTCTTCTTCTCCTCTGTATTGTTGGTTGTTGTTCTTGTTATTGTTGTCGTCGTATGCTCATGGAATATATTTAAAAATGTTGTTGTTGCTGTTGTGTGTATGTGTGAACGACATGCTCCCTTCATCCAGCAATGCCCACATTGTGAGCGGTGTGCGATGTGGAGCGAGCGACCGTATGGATATGTTTTTGCTTATAATGAGTCTCCCCTAATTTAAAGTTTAGCGCTGAACTTTATATTTGTGGAGACTTTTGTTGTTGTCGTTCCCTGTTTCTTCTGTGTGCGTTTGCCTGTTTGTTTTGTTTTCCTCCATTTCTAAATAAAATGGACTGTAAATCCAAAAGGAAAACGAAAGACTTAGGCAACAAACCCGTTTCTAGCTATCGCACATCACTCGCCCCACACACACACTCGCACACACAAACCATTCGCACTCACAATCATGAATGAGCAACAAAAACGCCACAATCTCCATGAATGAGAGGAGACCTGCAAGAGCAACAAAAAAGAGAATGCCAAAGTCACGTTTGGCATTAACTGAGGTTCGTTCCTTTTGCAATTGATATTCGTTTTTTATCGTTTTGTTTTGCAGAGATTTTTGCCTCCAATCTTATTTTGTGATTCATAGAAACACCCACATGTAGACATCTCAAATTGTTTGTGTTAACATCTCTTTGCGTCTTACCCCACCCACCCCATCCTACAGAATTAATCACAAAAATTGACAGCAACAATTTAATAAAACTGTCCTACTCTGTTTTTTACTTTTCAGAGGCTAGATTGACATCTAAGGAATTGCCCACCACAGCATGGCGTCGTGAGAGACGTTTACGCACCGGAGAATATCATCATCCGCCACAGCAGCAGCAACAACATCATCATCACCACCACCACCATCATCAGCAGCAGCATCATCTTGCATCTCCAGCCGGCTCTTCAGCAAGTAGTGCAAGAGGTATATCACCTTGTTCCTCTCCAACGCCCATAGCCCATGGACAAACGTCACCCCATAGTACAGTAACAACGACTGCAACAACACAACTACACTCAAACGCCCATCAAATTTCCATGATGATGGCTGCTGCCGCTGCCGCAGGCATGCGTCCGCTTTGTGAAACCACAAGCCGACCATCACCACCGCCACCACCTCCTGTTGCTTCGCATGGCAATATGCACATTGTTCGGCACGATGAATTGAATGAAGCTGATATGGAAGATGCACCCTTGGACATGTCCGTATCGAGCAGTTTAAAACAGAGAAATTCACCACCACCTCCTTATCGTGAACCCCTACCAGGTTCACAATATATATCAACGCTGCCTCGGCCCAGCGTTATCACTCAGGCGCCTCCAAAACGAGACTCGAGAGATAACGCTTTGTTGGCCAATCGCGAAAATGACAATCGCAGCTCTGGTAAGTAATGCCTCATGCGACCTCCACCTCAGGCGTCATATTTATCATTGTTTCCATTATATTTACAGAATCCATTGATGAGCATTTCCGTCGTTCTTTGGGCAATGATTATTTTGCTCTGTTTGCCAAGAAGTCACCTGCTAGCCAAACAACCAAGACGCCATCGCCACAGCCAGCCCAGCAACCACCAGCAGCTCATGCTCGGACCCCACCACCGGTAGCGTCTACAACCTTTTCCGCTTTACAGCATTCACATTCGGGCGCCCAATCTGCAGTGGTTGCTCCGCCTCCAGCCTATCCCAATATATTAACTCCGGCCCATCAACAACAACCCAACTCGGTCTTGCTGTCGCCTGCCGCAATTCTGGCAGCTCATACGAAAGGAGGGCCAGCAGATATTTCAGGACATAATTCACCACCGCTACCATTGGTGGTAAGAGCACCCTTGCAACAGCAGCAACAACCGTTGGCACTGCAGAGAGCAACGTCTGTGACGTCTCAAACACCTCTACCATCACCGCAATCACCATCAATCAAAGTTGGCTCCACACAATCGCCAATGTCAAGTACGGCCGGATCCCGAACAGCTTCCCCATTGCCCATCACTCAACCGTCTTCGCAGCAGTCTTCCGCCATAACGCTGTCACGTTTCACGTCGGTTGAAAATTCACCATCCTCATCGCCTGGCCAAACGCCGGCAGTGGTTACAAATGTTGCCCTGCCAAATGCCTCACCCACACTACCGGCAATAATGCGCATCAAAACCGAACCTGGACTACAGAGTATAAAAACCAATAATCCCACACCACCAGCATCGCCCACCAGTACCACGAATCCCAACATTATTATCGCTGGAAACGCCAATAATACAGTTTCCTCGTCGTCTCCCTCATCTCCGTCACCATCTACTGCCTCAAGTGCTACCATAAAGAGCAACTCAACTACCACCAGCGGTAGCAATAGCAGTGCCGAAGTACTCGCCTCGGTCGATGATCACTTTGCAAAAGCTTTGGGCGATACCTGGAAACGATTGCAAGAAAGCAAAGAAATGCGTAAATAATACCATCGCCAAAAAAAGGCCCTGCCTGCTGCTGCTGCTCACCACTAACTAATTACATTTAAGGCATTTGGAGTGAAGTGATATTTTAAGAAGTGATATTTGGAGAAATTTTAAAAATCTACCACCACCACAGCCACTACTAATTGACCACCACCACCACCCCCCCACTGGCAATGGAAAGCAAATTAGAAAAACTTAGTTTTTTAGTTTTGCATTCTTATCGACTAGTTAACTATCTAATGTTTATAACTATATGCAACAACAACAACCGCAACAAAGCGTATCTTCAATCGTACATACATATGTACTAAGAGTATGATGTATTGTCAGATAACAAACTAAATTCATTATTTAAATTTATTAAAAAAAGATCTCAAATTTATAATTCGTTTTGATTTGATAGATTAATGTGTTTATCTTACTATTTTTTATTTTAATCTTCCTTTTTCGATGTATACTAATTATTATATTGTAATTTAAAATCATTATCATTTAATACCCAACAACTCTCTATACACACACATATTGATATAACATTGCAAAATGAAGAGTATTATCTACTATCGACCCCATCATGGTTATTGGGAATGAGCGAGAGCGCCCACCATGAATTGTGTGCAGATACTTCATGCGATAATGTTCAATATTCGTTTTTTTCCTCTAATGGGAAGTATTTTGTATTTTAACAAAGTACGGTATTCAATTCATTTTCATATAGACCCCCCCCCCCTGCTCTCTTGCTCCCCTCCCCTCCCCGCTCTTGTTAACAAAGTACTAATTTTATTTTTTTATAGTTATTGACATATTTCGTTTTTAAGACCTTCTTAATTCATTCATGATCTTCTTAATACATTTATTTGCAAGCAAAAATTATTTTTTCCTAAAATTTGTTTTGTATTAAGTATTTGTGTAATTTATAAGTTTTATGCTGAATTCCTATTATTTGCTTAACAAACAAACAAACAAACAAAAAACCAGAATCATTATTAAAGAAATACACTTGTTTAATATAAGAATTTAATTTTCTTTGTAATTGAAAAGAAATAAAATAAACAAAAAATCAGACAAAAATAAACCATAAATATTTTTACAAAATTCGATTTTGTATTTTTAATTCGAGCAGCAGATTTGTTTAATAAAAATAAAAATTAATTTTTTATTATTACAATTTTGTAATTTTAAATGTATGTAGACTAATATGACACTAATGAGAGGACTGTCGGGAAAAATTACAATATATAATTTACTGCTTTACGGCTATTTTAGTAAAATTAAATTACTCTTTAAAAATAAAACTTTGAATCGGATGAAACCCACTGAAGTACTTTATTATGAACCCAATAGTTAAACTCGCCGGATTTTAGCATAAATGAATATTATTGTTACAATATAAAATATGAAATCAAGGACGTACAAAAATGCTTTAAATTAGTAAGTCTAGAGCCATAGTTCTTCAAGTTCGATTACAATTTCTTCGATGGACTGTGCTATTTTCTTCAATTTAACATGCAATTCAATACCCTCAAATACATTCGACATCGCCCGTCTGTGATTGACAGTCGATTTTATACTTTGGACATTTCTCAGAGGTGACAAAAAAAATTAAATTTTGATATTCTATGCTTCTTGAAATTCTAACACCAATTTTACTCGACTTTCCACCGAATTTCCCCGTGCATATCAATATTCCAAAATCCTATTGCTGCGGAATCTATCTCTTATCATAACATGCCATTTTATACCAAGTAATATTGGCGGTTGGAATTAGGCTATTGCCATTATATTATCGTATAACTCATTTGCTGGCGGTTCCGGTAATATTCTAATCGAATTATCAGGTGACACAAATCCTATTGGATGATGATTTCAATCCATACAATTTCCATAATACAACTTTCATTTCATTTGTTTATTTCCATTGTTTGTTTTTATTTATGTTTCTTCTTCGTTTTAGCGAAGCTTTTCTGTTCTGTCACCTAAAATGCTAACATGAATTAGCACGTTAATCACTTTGCATTGATATCCAATATTGCTCAAATACAACACTACTACATTGACGTATCGAATGAAACATCGATAACATCGATGAGCAACACACAAACCAAACTATCGATTTTGCTTGCGACATGTCGATAGTTGCCTTACGTATCCCTAGTCGGTCGCTGCTTTGTGGATTAAGTGAGTGAAATTCGCAAAAAAATACTAAAATTTTCAACAAAAAATTCAATAGTATCGTTCAGCAGTGGAAAATAATGAATAAATCATTCAAATAGTGTCAAGTAGTGGTTAAATAATAAAGAAAATGGTCAAAAATTCATAGATTGAAAACGGCAGTTTTTGCATTTTTTTCTTCCAACTTCATTCTGCCTGTCAAAAAGTATTTGACAGAAAAAAAATTAAAATACAAGGATATGAAAGAAATGAAAAATAAAACATAAATCAAGACAAAAGGTGAAACACACAATAAATGTCGACTGTGCAAAACAATCAGGCTGTGTGTATGAAGGCATCGTAAGATATTGAAAAGCCAAAGTAAGTGTTGTGCTAAATGTTAAAATAAAAACAAATAATTGTTTAAACAAATTCTATTGCAATGGCAAAACGAAGAAGAAGAAGAGGAGAGGAAGAGAAACAAAAAAGAAGAGTGTGTGAACAACATGCAATGTGAGAAAGATGGTGGAAATGTCAAACACACAAAAGTAAACGAGGCGCTTTGCAGTGTTACCAGAGGAAATACTCAAAATTTTCTAGTTGTCAAACAAAGTGTAATTTAACAGATCAATGCCGTGCAAGAGAAAATAGAAATATAAAAAGCATTAATTGTTGTGGTGATTAATCATGTTGTGATCATGGGAATTAATACAAAAATATATATTTGTGAATAAATAATTGTTTACGTTACCTGTTTAGAGAGTCTGTTGTCTTCTACAATGGTAATACCCTAACAGCTGTGGTATGTCAAAAATGATTAAAACAAAATGAGTGTCACAAAAGGGAGAGTGATAGCAGTGAGAGCGTGAGAATCTTAAAAAAAGGAAAATCGCAAAAAAAGTGTTATCAACCCATTGAAAAGAAAAACTTGTAAATAATTAAGCGCCGTAATTGTTGTGATATATTAATATGAAAGATTAATTATTTGACAAGTAATATGATTTAGAATATTTTACGTAAGAGGCATTTTTGTGCATACAATTTATATGTTCATAGGAGTTTAATTTTTTATAAAATATTTAAAAAGTTTCTACACAATTTGTGGATTATCTGAATAGAACATGAACGATTACACACAAGAAAAAGTTATATATTTTATATAAATATGGATGTGTTGCTTTTCAACCACTAGGATTTTGTGGTTTTTAGGGACACTTCCGTGCACAAACATTTGCTTTTTTTTAAGATTAAAAAACGAAATATTCAGAAAGATATAAATTTTTGCAATTTTAAGATTTGGATATAAATAGTACATATTACCAGCATTCGGGTATCATTTCCCTAAATGTCAACAATAATTCCAAATAATTTCAATTTAAAACAAATCATAATTTACACCAAAATTGACGCTTAATCGCCCCAATTACAAATGGCCACAATCCAAACACTAATCGCGACACATTGACAACACTGCAGAAAATCGTGTCAAAAAGCAAACAATTCAATTGCAAAACATCATATTTTTTCTTCTCCCTTTGAAAAAATTAAAAAAAGAAAAACATAAATTTCATTTAGAAAATGTGCGACAAAGTTTTTACAATTTTTAAGACTTAAAAGAAAAGAATGTTGGCGTCGGAGTCACCGTTACATAAAGTGATTTTCGTATTTAATAGTGTAAGATGTACAACGAAATGAAAATGTGCGAAAAGTGCGTAAAATGATGGCTATTTGAGTTGAGTTGATCGACGAGTGTATCAAAGAGGAACGGACGGAACGTAAGAAGTCAGTCAGTCACAAAGTGACGACAATTTTCGACCGACATTGTTTACGACGGAACGGAATCTGTCAATGGGATCAATCTGTCAATCGAATGTGGTGGGATCCTGGCTCCGTGCTCCAGACACAACAATAACACAGTCCCAGTATTTGTTTTAAAATATCAAGTGTTTTTGTACTTCTTTTTTGTTTTCTCTTCCACGCTCTTCCTTTTTCCGCCAGAGTCGTCGTGGTCTTCGTTTCGGTGCTGTGCTGTGCTTTGCAGTGCTCTGTTGTGTTGTGTTGTGCTAAACTAAACTCTAATGATTATGTGTGTTGAGCATGTTCATGTTTGTAAAAAAAGTTAAGTTTATCTTTGCCCACTTTCTTGTAGATTATTAACAAAATAGCAAAGCAAAACAAAAACGCTAGAGGACTCGAATCGTTCGTTGGCTGGCTGGCTGTGTTCTGGAGATAATTATGAAATGGAATATGTTTGACAACGCCAGGGCACGACAACAATATTAAACAAAACAAATTATTTAACGAAATTGTCCAGAGCGACGACTGTTTGTGTGTAAGACAGTCAGTGAGAGAGAGAGGAGAAAAGAAATTTTGGTTTCCGAATCAGCAGAACTAACAAAACAAAAGACACTCTGTTACCAGAAAATAAGAAGAAAACCAACTACAACAACATCATACCTCTGCAACAACAATATTTAAGTGCGGTCTATAAAATCCCAGCATTAAACTATAAAAAAACAACAACAAGTGAAAAGAAATATTTATATTTTTTGTAAATTTAAGCAAATCTGAGGTCGTATGCCTGTCTCTGCCTCCGTTCTCTATTTTTTTTTTTCGATATCATTTTGGGGCATTTGACGAAATGCAACAACAACAACATCAGAAACTGCGACAACGATTGCAACAACAAAATAAGGATTATTAATGTCAATGGCACTTCAAAAGCAAGCAGAACCTCAAATAAAACTAATAAAAAGCTAAGACGACAACGCATCCTTTAAGAAAACGAAACGGGGCACGGGACAAGGCACATCAAACAACCACAACAGCAGTAACTCAAATCCAAAACCAAATCCCAATTTGTGTTTATTACCATTGTGTATTTTTGAAAACGAAGCAGACGAAGGAGGAGAATAGCGTTTCCCAACAAATGCTACATTAGAAAACGAGTTCCTTAATGCAAATAAAAGCATCAGCAGCAGAAGTAGAAGAAAAAACAAGTCGATGTCAATGCTTAAATTGATTTGTAACGAAAGTCATCACTGGCACAATGCAAAGTTTGGATTCATCATGTCAAGAAGCTGATGTAAGTATTCCCCTTCTCCATGACCAATAACATCACCATTTGAAAATGTTATTTCTCTTTCTATCACTTACAGTTCATAATAAATGACACTTTGAAGAAGCTCAAAGGCTCTAATTCAGCAAGTTCTGCCAATGCGAATTCGGTATCTTTAGGTGGGTCGAGTGCTTCGAACGCAGCAATACTTAGACAGCAACACCATCATCATACACAACAGCAACAGATTATTTACCAACATCTACCGCAATCGTCATCATCGTCAGCACAGCAGCAACAGCAGCTGAAATATCAGACGTACCAGCAATTGCAAAATGCTCTTCAGGGCACGAATGTGTCATCGTCCTCGACTTCGACGTCGGGACAATTGCAACAACAACTACAAAATGTGTTGTCCAGTTCTCAGCAGCATCATCAGCAGCAGTTGTCCCCACCACAGCCACCTACACCGCCGTCCCTTGTGTCGTCTTCGGCGACGTATAGTGTCACATTTCCGACAAAGTCGTCGCTCATAGATAACAGTTTGTTGCACTGTAACATCTCACAAATACCCAGTCAACCTCCATTATGTATATTCGATGATGATGAACCGACACCTTCCGAACAACCTCCCGCCGAACTATTGGCACCATCGGCCACGACATCGTCATCACTTAGTAGTGGCTCAACACTAAATTCGTCACTTAACTATGACGGATTAGGATTACTGGGTCATGGCCCTGCTTCTAATTCAAACAGTAGCCATGGCAGTGGCACTGTACACCATATACCTATGGCGGCGCCATCGCCGTCTGTATCTGCGTCTACAGCATTTTCGAATTTCAATTCGATAACCTCACCATCACCTGTAGTTCCAGACCTATTATTGTCTACACCGCCAGGTGTAAATTCTTCTTCACAATCCGTCAACAATAATAACAACAGCAATCATAACAATAATACAAACAAAAAGGCTGAAAAACGTCCTTCTTCCTCGTCCTCATCCTCCTCCGCAGCATCCTTATCGACGTCAAACCATCTTCATCAGCAGCAAACTCATCACCACCACTACCAGCAGCATTCGTCGCAGAATCACCTTACCACACACAATTCCCATTTGCTAGGTTCGTCGTCGTTGCCGACATCATCATCAGCAACGTCTGGGGCAACTGCATCGCCTACCTCATCGCCAAGTAAAAGGCAAAAAATTAAAGACTCTTCAACGAAAAGCTCTCATTCGCCGTCGTTACCACGATCAACATCAACTTCCAATAGCTCAGGTTCTTCATCGGCTGGTGGTGGTACCAGCTATACGTCCACATCTTCCTCATCAAGTGGTTCCAAACGTGAATCCTCATCGCAAAACTCATCAAGCACATCGTCGTCGTCGTCGACACACAAGTTCTTCAATATACATGATCGAATTAAGGATCACTATTTCCAGTTACTGGCCAATGACTTGAGTCTATTTGCCGAAACAGGGGTAAGTTGGATGTTATTTGTTGGAACGAACCAGGACATATGACTATGGAATATTCGTATTATAGACCGTTATTAAGGGGAACTGTAATCAAAACTTCTGGTTAAAAAAATAGCTTAACAACGTTTTATAGAATTAAATAACGAACGACATTTTTAGAATTAAATAATGATTTTTTCAAGATATTTAGAACGAGTGGGATTTTTTTTCGAAGTTCACACGCACTTCTCTTTTCCATTCCTATCGACCGAGTTCCGCATCTACTTCAACAGCAAATTTGTTAAGTTATTCCACTCTGTACTCATTAAATTATACAAAATTTAAATTAATACACATTTTACTAAGTGGATCTCGCATAGATGGATGTTTGCATACAAGAGTTGATAGTGTCTACTAGATCGGACAGGATAAATGCTCCCCTCCGATTCTAATAGAAAAAATAGGGAATTCGAGGGTATGTTTTATTCGAGGTTTTATTTTTAGTCCCATCTTAGTATTCAACATAATACGTCTACTTTTTAATGAAGGCATTCGAATTAATTTTAACATGCTAGTATAAGATGGCCTCAATGCAAAAAGTGAAAATAGTTTCTGTACTGATTCGATTTTATCCGAATATATGTTATTTATTAATATCAGTTATCTCGGTAATAATAATTATTTTTTGGCTTTGTCTTGTCTTTTAGCTCAAACAACGGACTCGCTCCTTTGTGTTAGAACGTGTCGTTGAGTGTGAAAGACTCAATACAATTGTGGTTAATCTATATCCTGGCAACAAGGGATATGCATTGGCTCTGCACTACGATGACCGTCAAGTTCTACCAGTCGATGGTGATGGCGGTGCTGCTTTAGTTAACGAATATACATCAACGTCATTTCCATCTTCGTCGTCATCATCTTCTATGAAAATTGTATCTAGTCGGAATACAAACATCACTGTAAACAGCGGAGGCGGCGGAAGCGGCGGAGGTAGTAGCAGCAGTAGTAAACTTCATCCTTGTCCCATACCACCCGATTTGAAGAGATCACATAATGATCATTTGTTGGCAAGTGAAATTTCGGCAATGGACGCCTCTGCCAGCGTTGAATACTCATTAGTTGAAGTTTTGCGTTGGCCCTACGAAAATGACCAGCTATTGCAATGCATCGATCGTGAAGTTCTGCCCGACTTTTTAATGGATATGCTTGCAGCAACCACAATCACTTTACAAGCCCCCCAGGATGATAGTACAGGGACACCGCGCATCTATGCCAAACCCAATGTTTTCTACGCCGGTTGTGTGGTGGCGCAAATTCGCGACTTTCGACAAACGTTTGCCACCTCAACAAATATCTGTGATACAAGACACGTGCTGTTACGACCCACCAATGCAACATTGTTCGCTGACGTCCAGCATGTTGCGACCACGCTAAATCAAACAAGCTCAGTCTGCGCTCCTGAAGATAAGATAGCTCTGGAGAGTCAACTGGTGCTGGCAACGGCTGAACCGCTCTGCTTGGATCCCGATCCGAGCATAGGTCGTCATGCCATAAACTCGCAACACGAACGCCAACTGTTCAACACCCACGAAATGAGGCGACAAATGAAGAAGTATACTCAGATTTCCATAAACCGCAAGAGAAAATTGGATCAGTTTACTCATCACTACGGTCTAGAATTGTGCGATTATCTTTCACGTCTCAGATCGAGACCTAGGTCCGGACTAGCAGCAGCAAACGCAAACTCTGCAACGGCAGTCGGTGGATCAGGTAATCCACTAGTTAGTGCCACTATGTTGACATCGTTCGCGTCGAAGGTGCCGAAACGACCGAAAGATGTGATGCGCACCATACGGCCACCTCGCCTAGACTACCCGGCAAATCTTAAGGTACCCGATCAAATGATGAACATTGACAAGTATGCCAAGACCAACGAGAGACCGAGGGAAACCACCGACTGCCAACCCCAACTGATAGAAGAGTATATATTGGAGACGGAGCGTGACGATAACGAAGGACGACGAGTTGTATATCACATCAAGTTGTCAATATTTCAAAGGCCATCAAATTCAGAGTACCTGGGAGAATTGTATGTGGATCGTGATTACCGGGAGGGCATACGGAATGGAGAGTCCTGTCGCTTTCCCCTGGGGACACGAGTCCATGCGAATCGTTATATTCAACAATTCACGGAGATATTTACGGAGGAAGGTCGCAAGGCTGTAAAGATTACCCATTTGGTTCCGGGTCACGTGCCGAAGGTGACACACACGGGCATAACGCCGGAACAAAGGCAGGCGTTATTGTTGCAGCAGCAGCAACAGCTGCAGTTGCAGCAGCAACAACGGCAGGCAGCATTAATAGCGGCACAACAACAGCAGCAGCAACAACAACAGCAATCTATGCAGCAGCAACAGCAAGTCTTGTCGCAACAGCATTTGGTGGTTGTCGGTCCCAATGGACAACAACAGCACATCATACCAGCCACGGTGCAACATGTTGCTAACAGCACATCACAGCAGCAGCAACAGTCGGTGCAACATGTTGCCAAGAATATCAATATTGTCAATGTGACTGGCAACAATACTGCCGCAGCGGTAACACACGTTCTCAGGCAGCAACATCAACAGCAGCAGCAACAACAAGTGTCTACCACCCAATTTATAGATGCCAATGGCGCAACGGTTCAGCTGCAACATGCCACTCTCACTGCCTCCGGTTCCAATGCCAATGCAACGAATAACGCAGGCACAAACACCATCTCAAGTGTTGGTGGACCCCACCACATACAACTGCAGCAAATAACTGCTGCTACTGCCACTGGTGCAGGCGGTCAAGGTCTGGGTGGAAACTCATCGGCTGGTGCTCCGTCTACTACAACTACCCATCAATTGAGCCTGAGCAATGGCTCCTTGGTATTGGTACAACAACATCCTCCCTCCAATACGCAGACGGTGCACCACCAGCAAACAACGACACATCAGGCTCTCCAGCATGCTGGTATAACAATACAACCAGCCAATGTTTCTCACCAGCAGGCACAAGGTCAACAAAAGACGCAAGTTATTACCACAACCCAGCTGAATTCCCTTACGTCTGGAAACAATTCGGCCCTAAGAACCCAACTCAGTTCTAATGTGCCACTACTGGTGAGTGTTATTATCTTCATGCCCTGTACGAATAGTCTAATATGCTTTGTTTCTCTCCCCGAACTTTATAGCAAGCCCAGTTGAAGGCAGCCCCTTTGGTGACTGCCACAAATCAGCAACAACAACAATTATTGCATAAACAACAAAACACTGCCAATAGTTCAACCAATACAACAAATGTGGGGGGAACCGGAAATACTACTACAACCCTGCATAACAATCCGGCTATAAATGCAATCGTCACGAGCATTATGAACAGCGCCAATCAGTGGCAGCAGCAACACCAACAGCAGCAGCAACAACATCAGAACAGTAAGTATTGCGGGCAACAACGAATAACTTTGTCAACTGCTCTGCTCTATGTTCTTGTATTTAATCCACGATCGCTTTTATTTTTATTCTTTGAATATTTTCAGCATCAAATTCAAACACTTCCACAACTGCAACAACGCTGAAGAGCTCGAGTAATGCTTCCATATTGAGTTTATTGAATAGTGCACCGGCAGCTATGACTAGTACGCCTGTTGCCAGTGGAACTTTTACTACAACGAGTGGACAACCCTCACAACAGCAACAGCATACCGTTACTTTGGTGCCACACACTACTACCACCAGTCTCCACCAGCAGCAGCAAGCGCAGCCTCAACAGCAGCAACAACAACAAACAACGGCGGTAGTCACAACAGATAATTTTGTACAAGCGGCTGCCCCTCAACCACCTCCCCCCTCAGTGCCAAGTCAGACGCAACGTAAACAAAACGAGGTCTTACAGAATCTGCTGAATCCTGGTCGAAAAATCAACATTGTAAGCAGTGGTGGGGCGGGAGTTGGTGGCGCCACAACAACATTTCGTACAAACGCAGCTGGTAATATAATAGCGGTGAATCTCAATCAGCCATCGGGTCAACACCATAATCACCATCAGCAACAGCAGACACAAACCGCACAACAGATGCACACCGAGCACGTGGTGCAGACGCAACATCAGCAGCCACAGCCTACCACTGTTCGAGTATCGATGTCGGCTTTGGCGTCACAGTTGGCATCACCGCCTGCCATAATGACCAACAGTACAAATTTCGGTGGTTACACGTTGAGCACTGTAACCGGCACAGGCACGAGTGGAGGCGGAAGCATCAAAATACTCAACAGCGGTATACAACAGCAGCGGGTATTGGCCAATGCTTTGCGCAGAGATTCACTTAATAGTGTATCGCAGGGCCCGCCAAATGCTATAGTCGTGGGTATGGCCGCTCCTTCGCCGGGCTCCGATTCGAATGCTTCAAACGCCAGCGGTTTTGCGATACCTCAGTCAACGTCGGCCAGTGGAGGTGGTGGCAGTAGTGGCAATACCACGACATTAAATGCACTCTTAGCGAATGCCACGCCATCCCCCTCTGGATCCGATCATTCGCAGTCGTCCCAAAACCAAAATCAGAGTTTACTTGAGAGACTAAACAGCGGTGGTGTTACGGCGGGTGCTGCTTTGCCCAACATGTCGCCTCAACAGCATGCCCACCCCACACCACAACAGCAGTATATAACGAAAAGTCTAGTACAATCTCCCGCCAATTCTTCCATACATTCGCCAATGTCTAGTCCGCATCCACAGCCATCTCCGTCGCCCCATTTGCCACCGCCACCTCCCACTCAACAATCTCAGACACCGCAGCAGCAGCAGCAACAACAACAGCAAAATCAACAACAAACCCAAACGACAACACTCAACCTACAAGGTATCAACTTCTCCACTCTGCAGGGTGCAATGGCCAACTTCCCGGGTCTGCAAAATGTTCAAGTTCAAATTCCAGGTTTTAATCAGCCAATATCTCTCCAACTGACTGGAGGAAGCATACAAGCAGTGCAACAACCCGCTCAATCTAATAATTCCGTGTCAGTAGTAGCCACCAGCGTCAGTTCAGCCTCAAATCAGCAGAGCAACAACAACAGCAGTGCTGTTGTAGCAACACAAAATTCCAATACTAGTCAACAACAACAATCCCATCCTCAGCAGAGGAGTCTTTTGGTGTCGGTACCGGTGAGCTCGGCCACAAATCAGCAACAGCAACAATCTTCCACCCAGCATACGATCACCCTGCAACCGCAGCAATTACACCAGCAGCATGGATCGACGGCCACCGGTACAATAGTTAACTTGCAGACTGGCACCGTTGCCACAGCGACCGGTGGAACGCAGACGGTGGTATTGACTAACAATTCTGGTGCTGGTGGTGGTGTAGTGTGTAACACAACGAATTCATCGGGCGGCGCCAATGCCGGAGGCAATTCTGGAAATACAGGCACGACAATGTTAACATTACCAATTGGTAAGTTTGTAGAAAAACAAAAAACATTTCAAATAACACTGCAGATATCAGTGTCTTCAAAATGTCTTCCAATTTTACAAACAGGAAATTTGTCAACTAAAATGACAATCTGTGAATAATCTAACCGAATCTTTTTGAATTGCATTTTGAAACACCTCCAGTGTTATTATACTATACCATATAGTCCCAGATTTCTAAATTACTTGGAACAGATTACAAAATGAAAATCACACCTCCGCCTACACCCAAGGCGCTTTGTTTGGTTTCATTTTGTAACATAATTCAGAAACAAAATGAAATTTTCTTAGAATTGTTATTTACTTTTATTTTTACTTCTGATTTTGTATTTTTGTTTCCTTTATTTTTTCAATGAATTGATGATGGAATATCTTTTGTTTTTTTTATTACTCAAATTGACACTTTTATTGACACAAAATGCGAAAATAAACACAACAAATGATTTTTCTTTTTTACATTTTTTGTTCCTTTCCCACATCCTGCCCCATTTCCCCCCGATTTCCCCAACCACTATTCCAATATCCAACATTGCCAAACAATAACCCCACCTAATCATTATCATTATTATTGTCACAAAAACAAAAAACCAAACAAATCAAAACTACGAACCATTCATTAACCATCACCACCTCCACCATTTCTACATTCATATTTCGAAATACAAATCATTTGTGTTGCAATGTTCAAAAAAAAAATATATATATATAAACGATCAAAATTTTATCAGTTTGAAGAACATCAGCAGAAATTTTGAATAATATCCTAATTTAAAACACACCCTTTCAAACAAATTTGGAATTTATTGAGTTGTTTTTCTTGTAACGCACCACTCCCTCCCCCTTTTGTACTGTAAATAACTATAAAGTGGACATTTTGTTTCATTACAACTAACCAAACAAAAAAAAAAAACGAAAACAAAAACAAACACCAGTGTTGTTTTTTAGAAACCAATCGATTCTGCAAAATCATTTTACCAAAAATCAATCGTTCAGTCAAACAAAAACCAAAACCCGCAAATTCCCCTTTTATTACAGCCCAACTGGTAGGAGCTGGTGTACAGAAACTGAATCCATCGGCACTGAGAACATCTAGTGCAACGTCGTCTGGAGCTGGCGTTTCAACATCGAACGCTGCAACAGCAGCGGGTGGCAGTATTATTGTGCAGCAACAACCATCCCAGAATCAACAGCAAAGTGTTAATCATCAGGGCCAACAGGCCACCATAACTGTTAGTAGTACGGGTGGTGGTAATCAAACAAATCAAGCAATCCAATTGGTCGGCACCATACAACAAGGTGGACGTAATATCCAAGTGATGGGACCGAAACAATTGGCCGGTAGTCGTCAGATCATAACACAACGGCAAATAGGAGGTTCCACCTTAAAAATAGCGGCTGCTAATCCAATTAATGGTGAGTCGACATCTTATTTGAAACTCCATATATTTTTTTGCATCTTATTATTTTTTTTTTGTTTTAAACTTCGTTAAGAATTTTTTTTGTATGATTAGATTTTTTGAAAAGATCCGAACTAGAAGGAATTGTAGCTTTCGTAAGCAGAAGAGAATCTTCTTCATATTCTTATACTCAAACGTGATTTAGGGAATTTATTATTTATTTTAGTACATCAATACTAGTTATATATATATATATATAGGAACCTAGCTATGAAGCCAAGATCGGTTCCAGAAACCACAATTCACCAACTCCAAAAATATTAAATCTAACAATTGCTCGATCTTAAAATAGTTATAGATAGATAAATGGAACCACTCTACTGAACGTCTTGAACGTTCCTGTAGTAAATCGTTGAATACTCGAGCAGTTGTTACATGAAAGGACTTCTCCAACAAAGAAGTCAATTTGGGACAGGCATTTGTGTATACTTTACAGACCTACTAAATGAGAAGAACTCTAAACACGATGAGAGTGGCATGGGTTTTACATGTTTTATAGAAAAAAAAATTATCTCATGATTAAATTATTAAAAAATTTGGAAATCAAGTTAATTAAACATAATGGAATTTTATATATATATTATTTACTCTTAACAGAGAGCACTGAGAAGCCAACGGAATAGACAATAAAATTTTCAATTGGGGAAAATGACCTTCCTCCAAATTCAAAGTTCTAAAATATACTTCAGCTCATCATTATAAATTTGTAAGATGTTAGCAGTTTCTTGGGAAATAATTAAATATTTGATAGATTATTCCTTATTTTTTATTATTGTTACTTTTTGTTTGCATTTTATTTTAATTTGGATTTTATTTTCGGTTTTATAGCCACTTCTAATACAAATATTACCTCATCAGCCAATCTAACTGCCACGCCCATTGTAATGTCGACGCAAAAATTACAACTGAAAACTATAAAGGCAACTGCGGCGTCACAACAACAACAAAGCCAACAACAGCAGCAACATCAACGCATTCTCAATCAAATAACAGCAACCGCGCAGACGCAGAATACGCAAGGAACGCAACAACAGCATCAAACGCAGACGGTTATTATAGGCCAGGCTACCGCTCAAGCAACTGCAGTGCAACAACAAGGCTCCCAGTCCCAGACACAGCAGCAACAACAACAGCAGCAGCAACACATACAAATATCGGCGAGGGCTGGCAGCAATTTAACGCAACGTGCCATTACCGCCCTTGTGGCGAAACAGCAGCAACAACAGGCAGCTGCAGCCGCTGTAGCTGCGGCGAATCGGAGACGTTCTGCGACTGATGTAAATAAGTAAATTCTGACTAACAAAAAACCCCCAATCCCCACTCGCACACACCTACAAACTCTCTAAGCATTATAAATGTATTCAAACGGGAAACAAACTTCTTGAAATGTTAAAAAAAATTACTCCTGTATGGTAATGCTAAGATTTCCTTTTTTGTTTTAAAAGACAAAAAAACACATGTTGATCAAAAACGCATAAATATGAATGAAGAAGAGACATTGGCGCTGCCTACCAACCATACAGTTTTAAAGGAAAACATAAGAAAATTTCGAAATTGTTATGTGCAAAACTCTTTTATTTCTGTTCTAAGTTTAGGGTAGTTTTAATAACACCACTTTCACTGCAGGTGGTGAGAAACCAACCACTGATCCCTAAGGTGATTTTTGTTTTTCTTTTTTGTAAATTTCCTTTCTTGGCAGAGCCTTTTTTTTATACATTTTCTTACTACTTTTGTTTGTATAGAACAAGCACAGGCAAATAAGAAAAGTTAAATTATTTTCTTTTTGTAAATTTAAATTATCTTGTGTTTTGTTGTACGTTGAGTTCTCTCTTGCAATATATATTAAATATGATTATTACACACTGACGCTATGTAAAATTACACCTATACAAAAACATCCTCATCACCATCATCGTCATCATGGTCATCAGTACTAAATAATGTAATTAGAATGGCTTACTATTACTATATTATTTATTGTTTCTAGCAGAAGATTAAGAAGAAGTGAAGAAATCAACATTTTATTGAACATACTATTGAACCAATTCGAACCGAAGGAATGGCCTGGCAATAGCATGAAACATATTGATATTGTAAATTGTAAAGAAACTATATAAATTCACACCTCTATTAAATAAATATATATTTATAAACAAAAGAAAACACACAAATAAAAAGGAACTACTAAACCTAAAGAAGAAGTATGAACAATGTAAATGGTGCATAAAAAACGTAATTAAAAGTTGTGTTTGTGTGTGTTTGTTTGAAAAATGAAATCAACGTTATTTCATTCACTTAATTTTTCATGGATTTAATTTCAAGTGACATAAATTGTTTTATTCTATATATTGTTAGTTAAAATGCAAAAAGGCGTAACTAACAAAAAATTGAAAATTGAAATTGACTTTGTCAACACATGCAGTTTATTGACATTCACAATATTCATTCAAAAAGTCAATTTTCAATTTTTTTGTTAGTTACGCCTTTTTGCATTTTAGCTAACGGTATATTGTTATTCTTTAATAATTCCTTCTCAACTATATTTTTGGAAGATTCGCGCACCGTCTTTGTTATAATTTTTCATAAAAAATAAACTATATTTGAACTGCGTCCACGCACCATCTTTGTTATAATTTTTTATCAAAAATAAATTATATTTGAATTACATACAATTGATAATTCCTAATCGAGGCTAATTTGTTTCAGAACAATTAAGTGTTACGAGTTCATCGTATGTTCCATTAAAAAAAAATGTTTACATGGTAATATTTTGATGGAAATCGATATCATGATCAGTGTGGTATCAAATTTCAAAGATTTATCTTAAAGAATTCTCTATAAATACACGTTTTCTACTATTACAATACCTAAGGAAAATTGTTAACCTTTTATATTGATCCTCGTTACAATATATGTCATTTGATCTTTCAAACGGTCGCACTCTCACACACACTCACAAGTAAATAACTTTGGCTCTTCTTTGATGAAGTCTGAACGATGTTACTTATTTATGTAACATTATTGTAAATTATGTATTTGAAATACAGGAAAGAAGAACATTTATAAAGTAATTTAGGATCCAGAATTGAATAAAAAATACAGCAACAATAACAACGTCATTGACATCAATTCATGCAAGTCTAATTGGCACATCAATCAATGTTTTTGGCTTTAAAATTAATTCGAAATTCAAATCAATACTAAATTTACTAGCTAAACCCCTCTAAACAAAATGTATTCCTTTAAACGAAAACAAAAACAAAGCAATATTTGAGCATGATTGTACATTGAAAAAAAATCGGAAAACTTTTCTTAATTCTACTAACAGAGAAAAAAAAAACAAAAAATAATCATGTTTTCATCATTATTATTATAATTATTAATTTATTAACTGAAAATATAATAAGTGTTATACAATATACATTTTTATAAAACAATGTATAATGTATGAATTGAGACAAAAAATATAAAATACAAATAAACATTAAATACAAAATATGATGATATTCGACATTTAAATAGTTTTTACAAATATATTTTTTCTTGTACTACTCATAAAAAAGAAGAAGAAGAAGAAAAAACACAAAACAAAATACAACTGAACCCAGCTCCTGCTCCTACCCTTCTATAACTTCGTTAAATATTTAAGTATAATTATTATTATTATCGTAATTAATATAAACTAAATAAGTAAAATCAAGCAAGCAAGCATCAGCAGCAAACAATACTAATTATTATAATTATAAAACAACAACAAATTCTAATTATTAATGCATAAGTTATTATTGTGTAGTCTTAGAGAAACAAATAAAAGTTTTAACTTGGCTTTTGTTCTTTATCATCATTTTTTATTAGAATATTAACAAATTATTATTATTTTTAAATAAAAATAAAACAATCAAGAAACGTTTACATGAATTTATTACTCTTATACTTTTTGTTTTCTTTGACTTTGTTCTCAATTTAAATCCTTAATAAAAAATTAGCCGTTTATTTGTATTTAAGTTTGAGGAATACGATTATTAATTATGATTATAATGATATAAAATCAAACTTTATAGAGAAAAAAGAAATATTAGCGCAATCTATTGTACAATTGTATAAAATATGTTTTTATTTTTTGCTTAATAACTGTTTTTTCGATATTTTGTTTCATTAAAATTATTGTAAAGTAAGTAAGGAAGAACAATTATAGTTTATTTATTTCCAGCTTCTTTTTTGTATTAAATTAAATCGACAACAAGCAGCCAACCAATAAATAACGAAATACAATTATAAATACCTACTATTAGTTTGTTATATGCTATAAATATGAATGGACAAAAACAAAACAAAAAAAACTTTCAATTTGAATATCATTAGAGTATAGAATTTAAGTCATTATTAGCTTCAAACTCATTACAAAAATAATAAAATAGTAGCAAACAGGAATAATTATGCTATAAATATACATATATTTATATTTAATATATACATACATGATATGATTAGATAATAAAACTATAACAAAGTTTTTGAGACAAAATAAAAAAACCAAAACAATTGAAAAAAAAACATTATAAATTATGCATGGATGGGTATGAATGGAAGGAAGATGTATGGATGAATTTGGACATGAAACGAGACGAAAAATATAACAAAACCAACCAACCCACTAATCAAGGTAAATACCAAAACACAAGAATGCTTTACAAAGACTGTCAATAAATGCTTCAACAACAACAACAGGCTTATTAACAAACTAAGTGAAATAAAAAAACATACAAAAATAAACAAACAAATAAAAAAATATATGATCAGGATTTGAAGAATTGTGCCAACAACAAACAAACTCAATAATATCCTACTACACTACTAAACCACAATTTAAGTCTGATGAAATTATTTGTTAAACATAATAGAGAGAAATATTCTCGCTGATGTTATTTATATTTGTACTACTACTACTGAGATAACCAAATGAAAATATGAAACGAAAACGACGACACGGCGACTACGGAGAGAGAGAGGACATACATAGTAAAAGAGAGTAATAGAGTGATAGCGTTGGCTTTCATTCATATCCCTGATCGTAAAATTAAATATTTTTGTAATTTTCTAAAACACAATAAGCAACAACAACAACACATAAACAGTAAAGCATTTTAATATGAAAAAAAAATAAATAAAAGAGAAAAAATAACAACTAATTGATGTTAAAAAAAAAGAAAGAAAAAAATAAAACAAAACAAAAACACGAATAAATTGCTTACGAATACCTGAAATGTGTGAGAATGCAAGTTAGTAGTTACTAGTTTAAAAACATTTTATAAATAAGCCATAAACAACATAAAAACCGAAGAAGAAAGTGGAAGCCAGTGGAAGAAATTTGTGGAGTTTTTTGTAGTGTTATTTTGGGGGCGTGTTTTCAAGTTGATTGTTTTGATTGCCAAAAAAAAAAAAACAACAAATTTCGTTAATGGTATCTTGTTTTAAAAGGAATTGAGATAGTTTTGTGAGCAAAGTAAAGGTTTTATAATATGAACAAGGAAACACAAAGGATTAATAGATGCTATGCGAAATAGTCAAATACGTTCTATAATATTTTTAAACAATTTTTTGGGTAAGGATATAATTAATTATATTACCATTGAGGCTGTCTGATATTCCTACCATAATATAGTGTCACATATTTCGTCTTTTGCCAAGTTTATATTTACATTTTATCAATTTAATTGTTCAGTTTTATTTGAAGATACATTTGGACAATTTTTGAGACAACTGATTTCGTTTCGTTTTACATTCGCTATAAATCATATATGATATTTTAATTATAACCACTACAAAATTTTCTTCCAGTTTCTTCTACATCGGCTGAAATTTGTAAATATGAATAAATAAATGATAAACAATGAAAAACCAAAACGCTGTAGAATTGAGTAAGAGCATTCTGTATTATATATTTTTATTTCATTCTAATACGAATTCAACGAAATCATTTGACTATTGCTATTTGTCCAATCAATCCTTTTCACATTTTACGTTAGAAAGAAAATAAGAAGAAATAGTTTTTAATTACCACATCCTCAAAGAGAGCGGCATTTAACATTTTGAACATGACTACAATAATATTTCATGTATTAATTAGAATTTAAACGAAGAAACCTTAAAAAACTCACACACACAAATTTAAGACTTAACGCAAAAGCAGCAAAATGCTATGTAAAAAATTGGACAAGTGAAGTTTGCATTGTTATAAACACTGAAGATAGATCGATCGATAGCGAAGATAGTAAAGATGAACATGTGAATGAATTGTAATATATTATAATAGACGGTTCTAATTTAATGTAAAAAAGTAATCAATGAATAAACTAAAATCTTATAAAAACTTGCAATTATTATTATAATTTATTGAAGATATTACATATTAAGTGAGAATGAGAAATAAAGGAAAACTTAATACATAATAATAATAATTATAAATAACATACAATACAGAAATATACGAAAAAAATATAACAAATTGCCTTATTCGTATTGTTGCTACATCATGCCGAGTTTGGGGGTGGATCCAGAATGAAGTTGGGATAGAAACGCAATCCTTCCAGTGATTCATCGCGGCATAATTTGCCCAGACGTTCTGCGGCCAATAGACGTTCCTTGGCCAATATCAGTGATATATTGCGAGCCTTGGCCAATTCTTCCACAGCCAATGAAGTAGATTCCTGTACCAGATTCAGTGTATCGTTGGCAGTTAATTCATCATCTTGTGAATCCAATTGTAGCACCATAGCGCCACTGGGGAATGTGCGTAATTTGATTGGTCCCTCCATGCAACGACAGGCCTGTAGTAAATCTTCTGGTGATAAAAGTTCCAAACCTCTGGCTCGATTTACACGGCAGTATACATCGGCCAATGACATCATTCCTCCAGCTTCCTGTAAAGCGAATTCAATTAATATTGCTATTTCAAATTATCGATCGATGTAAATCAAACCTCTAGTGGATCTAGTAACATTTCACATAATTGTCCTGCCAAACTTTTGTAATAAGCAGATTCACTTGAGTAGCCGTCTCTAGTAACGGGATCATCAATGCCCAAACTCAGTAGATAGGACTTGAACCTAACAGTTTCGTCATCGGAAATTTCCCCTTTTTGGCTACGAATTTTATCACTAATTATCCTGGCAATAGACACCATGTCCTTAGCCATTGCCATTAGAACTCTTAGATCTTGAAAGGCCAGCGCAATGTTCTCCTCAGTTTCTTTGGTCTTTTGCTCGATGGCCTTTTCTATGCCGCCAATGCCAGTTCGCATTCGCAATTTTGCTTCCCTTGCGGCTTTTTCTTGGGGATTTTCTTGAAGGCCATCGCCGTTCAGGGCATTCGGAGTAGAAGGTATTTGAACATCCCATATTCTGGCCTGCAAAGTCTCTCGTAGTGCGTTAGCGAATTCCGGCAACACTCCATGCTTACCAGACAGTTTAATAAACGAGTTATTGCTATTGTCTAATGGTCCAGGCTGTTTGTCGGCTGCCGGAGGTCGTAGGTGTAGTATCAACCTTGTCTTACGACCAAACACATAATTACTAGCCTGTTCCTCGCTGACAGACACAATGTACTTCAAATTCAAGCATAGGCAAACAGCAGCTCTGGCAATCTCTCCAGGGCGGCCCCAAAACAATCTATGGGTTGTCAGCACCAGTTCTCCTTCCTCAAACTGTGTCTGTTTATAAGGCCAAGATATGAGTCATTGATAGCCAGTAGTCCTTTGCTTTACCTACCTTCTGATCGCCATCGTAGAGCTTAATCTGGCTTTCCTTGCTAACAAAAGATTCATTTTCGTTTAGTCTTGCTTGGATATATTCAAACCTATTCATCTCTTGATACCTCTGATGACCCTACAGTAGAGATGTCGTTGCGGAACGAACAAGTTCAACAATGAACTATTCCGAGCAGGGAATGAACGGAACTAGTTAAAGCTCATCTAGTTCCTTTTGTCTATAAAGTTCTTTTAAAAATTAACGCCACACCCTGTTCCCAACGTATATTTTTTCAATTTAAGTTACCTTTATTTCATAACGGTTATGTTTAGCAGAAGTTAAACCTCCGATGCTTATAATACCATAGACTGTTTGGGACTGCTACACTGCTACATATAGTCCTCATGGATATGTTTGTCCTTTGAACGACACAGTATGGACAGTGTATTAGTAGTAAATTCTATAATATTTTATATATTTTAGGGTATAGTAACGTTTGAAAAAATAAAACAAATAAATAAAATTTTTTACAAATTGATATGAAAATATATTAAAAAAGGGAAAATAAATATTAATAAATCTATTACCAGTAAAATATTTTTTTAATTCAGAGATTTTAAATTTGTATTTCTGGCTTTACATTTTTGACAGTTAATTGTGGCCAAAGCTGTTGCTGATACGGTTTCCTTTTGTCTGCTTTTCCACAGGCAGATTTTTATTTGGCAAATTTTTTGTTTTCTCTTTTGAAATTTTCGCTTGTTTTTCCATTAGAAAATTTTTCTTTGCCAAATTTGCGAATCAAAATACAAAAGAAAGAAAATAAAAGTCAAAAGTGTTTGCATTTTAAAGATTTTTTTTAATATTTTATTTATTTTTTATATATTTTATTATATAAATTGCAAAAATTAAAAATTTAATTTTACTTGCACAAATTAAATCAACAGGTTTGTAAACAAAAGCCAGCTGTGTGTCAGTAAAGCGAATAGGTTCAAAAGGAAATGTCAACAAAATTGTTTTCAACGAACAGAGCAAAACAGAATTTGCGTGTACGGCAAATTCTGAACAGGCAAATTTTTGTTTTTCTTCCTCGCACCCCTCTCGCCCACAAACTCAGTATTTGCCAAATAAAAATTTGCCGGTGGAAAAGAAGACTTAGTCTCCGTCCCACCTCATTCGTAAACTTTCGGTTATACCATTTTCAATTCATCTTTCTCGGCCGTTTTGTCTTCTCCTCCCATTCGTTACAGGTGGAACGTTTTTCAATTTTTTTCTCTTCGTCGATCAATTTCTTTAAATTTAGTTTTTCGTGTTAATTTTTTTATTAAATATTTAAATTATTCACAAAGTCTTGTATATTAATTACTTATATTTATATTAAATACAATAGAAGTGTACACGGGGCAGTGAAGTTCGCTTTCAACTCCAGAGAACAGGCGAAAGAAGGCGTTTTTGTGAACGAAATTTTTCTGGGAAGAAAAAAAAAACAACAGTGAACAAAAATAAAAATAATCTTGTTGCGCCACATATATTTTATATTAATTAATATTTATAATGGACACTGCCAAAACAACAACGGCGACGACGACGGAGGCAAGCAAAATGCTAGAAGAGGCTCTGTTGCAAATGGACGGTATTATAAACCAGAGTGGCGGTGGAAGAGGTTGTGGTGGTATTGCTGGTGGTGATCGTGGCGATCAAGCGACTACAGCCAGCCCAAACCCAAACGGAAGTTGTAATATATTAAATGAACGCAGTGTCATATCCAATGCAAATGTTCTGTCAACAGCAAAAACATTAGCCTTGGCCCTGCAACAGGTGAGAGAATTTTGTGTGTTTGTTTCTTTAATTTATCAAGAGATTAGTGTCTGTCAGCACAGGTCAGTATTTCGAACAGTACCCAATTTTAAATTATTCCACTGGAATAATTTAAACATTTTCTAGTTCCACCGAAAACTAAGCTAATAGAGTTGTGTGAAGAAGTGCAAAATTCACTTGAGGATTGGTAATTTCGAATTCATTAACTGTCAACAAGTGTGAATGTATTACATTCCATGGATCTTGGTTTTTTAGAACTTTCTTTCATGTTGTGCACTAGGTACTTACTGCACGACTATCTTATATATTTCGTTGTTAGGTGGGCCTAGCTGCTCCTACTCCAGATCCGGTTACAGCCGTAATTATTGGCGAATGGCTGGATCCCCACATACCCAGACCCAGTGACGATGAACGCGTTAGACGTTTATTGCGTGATAAAGAATCTTTAGCTTTACAATACCAAATGGTAGCCGACAAAGTCTGCGAACAGGCAGATCGCATAGTGGAACTTGAAGGATTACTAGCCGAGAAGACACAACAATTGAGTGCCAAAGATGAGCTATTGCAACGCCAGCTATGTACACGTTCTGAGCTGGAGACTCAAAAGCTTGAACTTATGTCGGCCCTAAGCGAACTGAAACTGCATAGAGCGGCCTTGGAGCGAGAAAATATGGAATTGAAAAATTTTGAAAACTTAACGGTATCCCAGGAGCCGCTAAGGAGAATTGCTGCCCCATTTGGCAGCATGGGCAACTTGCACCAATCGACACAGTCACCAAAAACACCACCCTCCTCATTGCGCCATCAAATACATCCGCTATATCATAGCTTACCCCGATCACAATGCCATAAGAACAATAACAGACCAAAGTTGCCCATAAATCCAAATCATTTGGGGGGCAACAACAACAATAACAATAACAGCAACCTCACAAACAATAACAGCAATAAATCATGTGAAAATAATAGACAGCGGAACGTTGCTTTTGCCTCGAATGAAAAAATACTCATTGATGATGATTGTGGCAGGGGTGGCGGTGGCAGTGGTCAGGACGGAATGTACGACAGTTATATGTCTCAATCGAATTCGAATTCAACTCCCTCTCCGACATTGAAAGAACGTTCGGCGAAAGGATTCCGTCAAATTTTTGGCAAGCTAAGGCGCAGCAATAGTGGAAATCTGGAGCTGCCCGCACTGGAGCAAGCAGAGCCAGAGTTTCGTAGAGGAGATCGTGCTAGGGCAACAGCTGGTGGTCGTATTGAGTGGTCAACACAGACATCGCAGGGCTCTGTAAATTCCAATAGGAATTGGAAGGAATGGACGTTGCAAGACGTTTGCAATTGGCTGGCCGAAATCGGCTTGCAATGCTATGAAGACGAATGCAGGTTAGTAGATAAAAATGGGACGCCGGACTATACTGTAATACGAATTAATTTGTTAAAAATTCCAGGAAATGGCTTAAAAATTACCCAGCAACTTTCTTTTTCAATGCCTCTCCTGTGGACATTGAAAAGGAATTGTGCCTAAAATCTCCCTTGCACCGCAAAAAGATTGTCTTGGCCATAGACGAACTATGTGGCAGAGAAGAAGACCCATTGGCATTGAAGGCTGCCCAACTCGATATAGGCTGGGTAGTGCGCTGGTTGGACGATATAGGCCTGCCTCAGTATAAAGATAACTTCTTGCAATGCAAGGTAGATGGGCGTATGCTACATCGTCTGACTATGGAGGACTTGACTCACCTGCAGGTGACATCATGTCTACACATTGCCTCTCTAAGAAGAGGCATACAGTGTATGCGTGAAATGGATTGGAATCCGGAATGTTTAATAAGACGTTCGACAAAGGTGCCAAAACGTAACAGTTCCGAGTTGCCAGACGAACAAACCGAAGAAGTTGTCGACACCAGTCTGGAGTATATAGCATTGTGGACAGCACACCGTGTTATGGAGTGGTTACGTGTAGCAGATTTATCTGAATATGCTCCGAATTTAAGAGGCGCTGGGGTACATGGTGCTTTAATGTTGTACGAACCCAGATTTAATGCCGAGTTACTGGCCGACCTATTGAGTATACCACCCAGCAAAACCCTGTTGCGACGTCATTTGGCCACACACTTCAAGGAACTTTTGGGACGAGATGTAATCCAAGGTAAACGAGATACTGAGGCCCAGCCTAACTATCAGCCACTGACCATAACAGCAAAGCTGAAGCCACCCAAAAAGACTCAATTCTCTTTGAAGCGAAGAAAATCTACAAAAGGTCTAACATGTGGTGGCACTGAAATCGAATGGACCGACTATGTATGCCCCATGAACGGGGGCTCGTCGAACGAACAACAGCATCATAACAACTCCAACACATCATCATCGTCAACAAACTCGACCAGCAATTCAACCCAATTGCAGTAAAGTGCATTTTCACCCCAAACATTCAACAAAATATATTTTATTTAATTTATACTTGTACTCATATTCCTTACTAACTTTAAATTTAGACATCCTCTCACACACAAACATATCCCGATGCATTTGAAATATTAAGTTGTGTTAGTTTGACCCGGCACTTTGAGACCTACTATTCTCTCTTTTAAACTCACTCGCTCACTATCCACTCAAAGAACCAATGTGTGTCTTCCAAAAACGCGTTCACAAAACAAAGTTTTGTCTCACGTTTTTGCTCAAACGAAAACCAAAACTAAAAGTAAAACGATAGTATTCCCAAGCATTAAAAATTTATTTATATATATAGTTAAATATCTATGTTTGTAGTATGACAAGGCATCCGGAAGCTATAACATTTTTAGTTTATTTTGTGTGTTTGAAAAAAAAACGAAAACGAAAAACAAATAGTCCACAAATACCGCAAGAGTATTTTCAACCCAAAATACCACTTCTACTGATTTATATTACAAAAAAAAAAGAGAAATTGTATTTATGTTCACCCTAGAATTGCATTTAAGTTTCAAACATATGTATATTAGGACGACCTACCAACCAGCAATACAATCCTTCGAACCCCAATGATAATTAAAATCGACAACCCTGAAATGAATATGTTTTATTTTTAAGCGTTTATTTTATTTCTTTTTATTGCTTGTTTCGAACAACATAACATTTTACTTATTTTAACGTACAAAATCGACAATTCAACTCAACTCAAAATGTTGCAGTATAAAAAATGAAATTGTCTTCAGCATTTGGTTTTATTTGTTCAAAAGTGTATGTATGTATATATACGCATTATTATGACAACATATATATATCCGCCGAATGCAGACGATGTGGAAAACAATAAATTAATAAATTTGTTAATCGAAATTGTAATACAAATTAAAAAGTAAAAAACAAAGAGAAAATTATACAAACAATAAACATTAACACTTAAATGACTAGAGTTTCACATGTATGTATGTATACTCGTAGGTATAAAATGTATTTTACTTATGTGTAAATTAAGGACGGATCTGTGTGAGATGTTATCGGCAATATCTGTGGGTGCAGGACATTGCCATTGCACTGAGTTATGGCATCCATGTTCTTCTATAAATGCTTAATAGGGCGCCTAACATTAGCCAGGTAGTCAGCCACTTACACACCAACAAATATCTAACAATATGCCTAAAGAGGTTATAAAACAAAGGTCACAACAAAACTTAAATCATATCTTTGGCAGCATTTTAGATGATTTCTTAATTAATATTTACAAAAATAGATTTAAAATGATGATAATATTTATTATGACTTAAATAATTAGCTGTGGACAAAATTGTTCCATGTATGTATGTTACAACAGAAAGCCTCTTGAATGTAGAAAACAGAGTGAATGGAAACGAAATTAACCGAATAGTTGTTGAGATGTTAATGATGCCGCAAATTGCACTGTTTCTGGGATTGTTTAGAATTTGGATTCGAAATGTACAAGGAAAGTATACAACGTACACGTTCATTCAATTGCATGTTCTTCCGCTCTATCGTGGACTAGAACACTCTCCAATGTCGAAAAATCTCCAGTAATCGACAGGTGCGGCATCGTCACAAGTGACGCATCCTTTTCATCATCTTTAGTTGCAGACGGCGGAGCCATCGTTGTTGCTGTACTCGACAGCATAACTACTTCATTTCCATTTCTCTGTACATCGTCGGGCAAGTAATCTTTCCAATTCCTGAATAAATATCGAGTAAATTTTTTCAACTGACGAAACTTGCAATATGTTGCTCCTTCAGCCGATTCCAACTGTTGTGTTTGTATAAGAAATCCCTGCTCTTTGAAAGTCTTCTCTAGTTTCTCTCTTTGCGTGCTTCGCCTCAACTGATGCAACGCTTGCTTCTTGCGGGATAGCATATATCGATTTGTACTTGACGGCGATGTGGATGGTGTTGGGCTGTACTCGAAATTCTCTTCGAAATAGTTTGTGAGGACAGATTCATTCGGTCTGATGTCTTCAGTAATAGTTGCAGTCGTGGCTGGGGGTGGTGGAGTTTTTGAAGTCATTATTGTCGGAGCAATAGCACTGCTATTTGTTGTTGGTGGCGGCGGCAAAAGTATGTTGGCAGATGGAGACTCTGGTATGTGCAACAATTCATTGCTAAGTCCCGTCGACGGAGGCGGTATATCTACTAGGAGCTTTTGTCCAGTTCCATGTAGTAGTCCGCCGCTTTGCATTACTTCTCTGGGAAAGTACTCATAGCCTCTGGTGGTCTTATCGCCCGTTCCACTGAAGTACCGATAATTACCTCCGGCATCTACCGAAAGCATTTTCTTTTCTTGCAATGTCGGCTTAGAGCCGCCCGTAAACTTAAATTTGCAGATGCTCACTTCTGTTGCTGGATTAGAGGTGTTCTCTGTATTCATTGGCGGTATGAAAATGGCGGAGCGTTTGCGTTTTTGAGGTGCGTGCTGCTGTGTGTTGCTGCCTGTTACAGTACTTGAGCTTGCATTTGTGGCCGTGGAGTTCTCCGACTTTATGGATGACGGTGTAGACATCTGTTCTGGATATTCCAAGTTCAAACTGTTGGCCATCGATGGTGCGGGACTCGACGCCGGACCCGTTGTCTTTTCCACCTTAGGAGTCAAAAAGAGGCCACTGGGTATGGGAATTTTTAAGGCTAGCTGATTGTCTTTCTGAATTGTTTTTATGGGACCGTTGGCATTTTGCAATAAAACCCCACTCTCCAGGAGTTTTTGGTAGTATAGCGTCAATGGGTCCAACGGAGATTCTTCAGTTTTTGTTACGGGTTTCGAAGCGATAGGTGATGCCGGAGGAATGTCTTTAGCCTCCAATTTTATGTTATCATTGCCCAGTTCATTGAGATTTGTTAACGATCTTTTCAGGTTATTCGCCAGCATGGAATCGCGATCAATGTCGGAGGGCGTTGTTATGGGCGGTGTTGGGCAACTTGAGTTGGTCTCCGAATCATCGTCTGCACTGGAAATTGAATAGGTATCAGCTTGCTGATCCCGTAAACAGAGATTCAAGGGCTGTTCTTCGCAGTCTTCAGTCTTTGTGGGGTTATCCCCTAAACGGTACTTGAGATCGACTTGAGAATCATCGCATGGAGTCTGTTTCTTGGGCATAATGGTTCCATAATTTTTATATATTAAATGACATATATCTGCCTTTTTGGGTTTGCGTCCCCTGCGAGGCTTGCTGTTATCCAATGTGATTTCACCCATATAGGGTAGGTCGGAATACAAATGTGCTTTCCTATGATTAGAAGATTTTGTGGCAGTTTTTGTGGTATTGACCTCGACATTGCTGTGCACGACGACAGTGGTGTTTCTATTCTGATTCTGGGGATTGTTATTGGAATCTAGAGGAGACTGTTGTGCCTGCTTGTTTGGTGGATTGGTGGAGCGCTCCGCAGCCTTTGAAGCATTTGCCGTTCTTTGCATTTCGGCAATTTTCTGCAACCAACTTCGTACATTTTCATGGGAATTCCTGTGGTGGGGTTTGGAAGTCGGACGTTGTTGGGTTGTGTTTGATTTTGCCGGCTTCGTTGGTCTCGCCTGGCCTTGTGTTGCTTCGTAATGGCTAAGATATTCGGGCGGTAGTGCCTGATGGTGAAACCGAAGTTTGATGGAATTGTTCGGCTTCTTCCTCGTCTTAACAGAACCTGAGCTGCGCTGTTTTTGATTTGTACATTGGGTGGTCAATGCGGTGCAGGAAGCATTATTCTCTCTTTGTTGTTGTTGTTGCAATTGTTGCTGCTGTTGGTTTCGGGCACTCATTAGATTGGCTTTAACTTTGAGTTGTTGTTTGGTGAGGTTACTGCATCCGCTTTTTATCGGTCTTGTATTTGGTTCGGAAGACGGCAGTATTGATGGAGGAGGTGGTCCACTAACAGATTTTCGTATTGTTGTTGTAAATATTGGACGTTCCTGTGCTGCTATCGAGCTGCTAGATGTACGTGGCAGTTCATCTGATGCTAATAGACATTTGGCGAAATCAGCTGGATGTTCATCGTCATGACTAATGACACTATTAGCTCCGTGGCTAATTAGAGGATCCTCGGAGCCCTGGAGCAACAGTTTACTATTATTGCTGTGATCAAACCGTTGACTATGATGGTTTTGGTTATGATGATGGTGGTGGTTGTGGAGTACGGATAAACGATGGTGAGCCAATTCGTGGCTGTTCATGGGATGCTGTTGCCAAGTACTTGGATGTGAGGGAAATAAATCTAAGGTGTTGTTATCTTCAAGTTTAACTGAGGCAAATGCAGTTGTGGGCGCTACATTATCAACATCCACTGTCAGATGTTTGGGCAATATCGGACTGATTGGCGATGAACTTTGAATTCTGGATATGAGGGTTGGGCACATATCCTTGTCGGTGTGATTATTGGTGGAAGTTAGACATTCGCCAACATTCAGCAGTGAGAAATCATCTCGGGAAATTTCTTGCATACTATGGCCAACTGAAAAGAGAAACACAAATACAATTGATTATAATAAGACAAACGGCAAAGGTAAAGGACAACAAGAGAAGGAAAATAGAGTAGTAATGAATTCTCAACAATTACCGTTAAATAAAAATTCGGGTAACATTTTTAAATTATCCATCAATGTCATACAATGATTATTTTGAATCAAAAAGGAGACACCACCAAACAACACAGCTCATTTGACAATCGATCAAAACAAACGAACTGTCGCCGTTAACACCACAAGAGCAGAACAGAACATACAAACAAACAGACAGGCAGACATTACGTGCAAATCAATGCAAACATTTATTTACCGGTACTCTGCTGTGCTCAGAGAATGCACAACACACGCGAGAGACTTTAATGCAGTAGAGTAGTGATGGCGGACAGGGTGGCGTATACGTGTTATAGTAAACCGTTATAACTTAATTTTCATTCATACGGCGAGAGAACAACCAGCGAAGAGACCAGAGAATCCATGTGAGTAAAACTTTCGCTTGCCTTCCTTTTGTTTATATCGTTTTGGGATTTTTCGGTTTTTTGTTTTTGGTTTTGTTTTCTTTCTGTTGTTGTTGTTGTTGGCTCATGAAATTTGATGCCCTTTAATTGTGAATATGACCAAATACGGATTAAAAGCAACAAAACACAACATCAGATCACATGTACACAAACACACACGGTCTCTCAAATACACATGCATACACGCGCTCGCGTTTTTAGCCGAATAAATTTTGAAAAAGTCAAGAAGTGAATTCTTTTCGTGATGACCAATCGTTATGGGGATCTAATAATAAATTCAGTATTTTTGTGTGTTATTTATTTTTTATTTTCTTTTTCAATCGCATGAAATTTAAATAGTTCGGCAGATAAGTTCAAAATTTGTTCAGACACTTGTTAATAAAGGCCATTTTGTTTTGATTTTCCGTTGATGATTATGATTTTGGGCAGATGTCCGTCCGCATGGGAATTTATATATTTTCTTGTTTTGTTTTTTTTAAGTGAATCCGATTATTTGAGGTCGATACGAAAGAGGCACACACGCGTTTCTTTTACTCTTTCGTTTGACATTTGTTTGTCTGTCCGCCAAACAATACGCGTTGACATCCAAAACGCAACTAAAAATCAAGCGCAGAAAAATATCTTTATTGCCAAAGAATCTAAATATCCACCTTAGATGGATGTTGTTGGTTGTTTCATCGTTTTTTCCCGTACGACTCTGCCACATTTCACGATCATCGGCATTAGTTAGCATCAGTCAGGCAGGCAGGCAGCCTGGCATCAACATTAGCAAAGAGTATATGGTATAAAGAATTCAACAACAAGAACAAAAACAACAATAACGATGTAACGTCATAGACTCACACATAATGTCGACAGTGTGCTGATGTTTTTGAAAATGAATGTAAATGATGAAAGAAATTTCTTTTTTTTTTTGTTATTGCCCATTTCAAGTGGAAGATTTAAAAATCTACAAAAAATGGTATTCATTGGAATTTTGTATTTCTCTGATTAATTTTTGAGAACATTAAATTTGTATGAATTATTGTTAATTTGTTATGATTTCAGGAAAACCGACCAATTACTTGTCAATCGCATCCTAGGCAATATGAGAACAATGTGAGAATTACACACACAAATAACGAAACAAATTAACCCATTGAGTGGCACAAAAAAGATTATATACATTATATGTGTATATTAGCTATTTAGGACCAAAGGAGCTTTTCAATCAATGTACTTCGTTTGGAAAATGTGATTTGGATTTTCTAAGACCTTTAAACATTAGTACCGATATTTAAGGGCTATGTTAAAAACTGTACCAGACCGAGGACTTCATAAAAAAGAAGCAACAAAATACCAACCCATCACATGATCTGAACATACAAATATTTTATATCTATAAATTTATTTTCATTCACAGTAACCAGAACGTTAAATAAGTCGTGTATTTCGCCAAAGACAAACATATTTGGAATATTTAAATACGTATACGCGTGTGTGTATGTATATTTAGACACCAATTTTTAGTTGGTATCATTAAATATTTTTGCCATTTTCCAAACATATATGTGTGGGTGTTGAATTAAAATTATCGCCGCTCTTTTTTCTCTTAAAATAAAACCAATCTACTTTGAGAGTCAATGAAGCCTTGCGAAATAATAGACTCTTTAAGTATATTTTTCGGGTGCTGCTGATGGAATTCACGTCTTCGCCTCTATAAATGTGAAAAGTTCGTCAAAAGCAAAGGAAAACAAGCTTTAAACATCATTTGCTTAATTTATTTGGATAGCGGCGAGCGGCGGCATTGTCCACATACACACACCCCACAAAACAAAGTCACCCAAAAAAAAAAACTATTTTCGGACATAACCACAACACTATTCTAATGTTAAAAATAGCCAACAACAAAAAAAGAACGAAATTAAATGAAAAACAAAAATTTCATTTTGGCCACTTGTTTGAATTCTCTTGTGCTGTGCCATTAATATTTCAACATCACTAAAACATAACAGCCGAAGCGAAGCGAAACAACCCCCTGCCAAAATATTTCAAACTTTTCAATTGTCAAACAACGGCAACGAGCGAGCAACGTGTTTTCTTCTTTGTTTTTTCCTTTTTCGTTAAATCTGCACTAGCGCCATAATAACAAAGTGTGAGCAACATACGGAGAGAGAGAGAGGGGTTGTGTGTGTGTGTGCGTGTGTGTGAGGGAAAATGATCGGTTATAGTGTAATAATTATCAATGGTAGTCAATGGAACGGAAACGGAAAGAAATATTAAAGGTTGATTGTTGTTGTTTAGCGGTAAATCATAACAAAAATAGTACTTCTATATTTTAACTGTTCGGAAAATGTCATTTAAAACAGTATACATGTATGTGTTGATTAACCGGAAACTGGAGACTTTTGTGTCATTTCCCCCAATACCGAAACAAACATAGACTGTTTGTCTCTTCGTTTCTATTGGTATACGCAAATCCATAATATAAATGTTTCAAGAGATTTACTATAAATAGCCAACGTCTTATTGAGTCGTTGTACAACAGCATCTCTGCATAGATCTATTTAAATGTATCCATAAGTGGGTCAAGTCTTTTAGGGGGTAATTAAGTATATTTTTAAAGTAAGTTGATTTCGAAGAGCATTTCCGAGCGTGTGTGTGTGTGCTTGTGTGTAAAAACAAAAGTCTATTCTGAGAGAGAGAGAGAGAGAAAGAGAGAGAATGAGGTACAAAAATTCTCTTTTTAAGAGGAGGAGTAGAGATTGATTTGGAGGTTTTGTTTACATCAATTTTGGCTCGATGAAAAATGAAATCGAATGATTATAGGATGAAGTTTTAATCAGTTTTTTTTGTATCCAAATTAAATTAAAAAAACTGCGATTAATTTGAGCAGAAATCTCTTCGCCATACATTAACGTATGATTAATATGAAATATCTGCTACTTATAGCGTATACGTAATTTTTCTTTATTTACTGACTACTTATGTAAGGGTTACTGCGACTGGACTGAACTCTATACCTTCCATGGAATATTTCTTCATACCTTCCATGGAATATTCCTTCATGGAATATTTCTCCGAAATAATTTTCTGTGATAAATTATTTTAACAATCACTGGTAATTAGCTGTATTATCGGAGTACTGTTTTGTTTCCGATATACCCGATATAAAACTGGAAAAACCAACACGATATATTTGTTAACCTTGCAATTTTAGTTATTTTAGTTTTGGCCACCAGTACATACATAACAAATAAATCTATATGGAATGCAAATAATTAACATCCAATAATAAAAGTTGTCATTCCCAGCTACCATTTTACCCAATCAAACGTTTGCTCTTCAATTTTTTTTGATATTTGGGTTCTCACTGAGGTAATTTAATATCTACTCAAATTATTATTTACATGATTGTCATTACATATAACTAGACACTTCCCTAATTGTGTTTATATCAATTTTTTTTATATTCGAATCGGAACCACTTAATAAATAATAATTTAAGTTGCCATTAACATTTAAAAATGTTGTAATTATAAGCTCGTTACAAATTTTGTAATTCTCTTTTTTTATACTGAATATGGCCAAAACTAAATTAACCACTTCATAATAATATGCAGAATATGTCACAAACGCCTGCATTGGTTACTGCCATAAATGCCTGTAGCCAACTGCTGAACAAGTACCGGGCAAATTATAACAAAAACAACAACGACGACGACAACAGCAACAACAAAACACCGTGTTTCATTAAGAAATTCCCTCATGTTATACATCCTCTCAATCTCTCTTCGGCTCTTCGTGTTTCTTTCTCTCTCACTACTGTCTAGGTTACATTTCTTGTGTCTGACAGATTCAAAGGTTCTTGACAGCAGAGAACAAGCAAAAACAAAAACTGTCATGGTAAGGTAACAAAATGTAGGTGTTGACAAACACAGACGTTTACATTGGCACTCTCGTGCATGCATCTGAACGAAGTGTGAATAATCTTGGGATTGAAACAAATATTTAACAAATTTTTAATTTGTTTAACTACACACACAGTACACTAAATATGGCATTTGGGGGATAATATTAGTTAATAAATCATAGCACACATCGCATAATGATGTAAGCTGGAGTGGTTGTTGTTGCCGTTGTTGTTGCTGCTGCTATTAATGACAAATGCACTTGAAAGTGTCATAATTGTGGTGGCATACAATTCAGCTGGCTTCACGTCGCTGCCTCTCAAACACCATTCGAATTTGAAAACTAACTACAAAATCTAATCAAGCGGAATGCAAAACTGAAATTGAAATTATTGGAAATATGCAAAAAAAAAAAATAACA